ATTACGGTCATAAACTCATCAATCTACCTATTTAGTTTTACCAATATTTCCTTTATATATTTTCAGGCTACATTTCTAGACACACACAGACTTAGATTTGCTGTTTATTCTTAGCGTATTTATTAATTTATTCTACTTTATCATTATTAAATATCACCCTTTGTATCCAATAATGTTTCCTTTTTAAAATGCATTTTATCCAGTGTCAATAGTGCTATAACAAGTATCTTTCAATCAATTTTTATGGCATCTTTTATCCTTTTATTTTAAACTATTTTATCTTTATATTTAATATTTGTCTTTTTATTTTTTATTATTTTTTAATATATTTAGCACAGGTTTTTTCGTGTCTCACTACACAGATCAGACTCATAGTGATTCTCCTGTTTACAGCCTCCCAAGCACTGGGATTACAGACATGCACCACCACACTCAGTCTCAATAGCCATCTCATGATGCCCTGGTGGCGGAGCTGGCACAGCATACTGGGGATCAGGCCCCAGTCCCTGCATCTGCCTAAGGAGGCACTTTATTCCGCTGAGCTATCTGGATGGCCCAAAATCTGTCTTTTTAAAAAGCACATAATTATTGTTCTTTTCTATTCCACTCTAAGAATCTGTCTTTTAATAGGGACATCAATCCATTTATATGGGTTAACTAATCATGATATATTTATGTTTACATGAGTTATCTTACTATTTGTTTTTTTATTTGTCCCATTTCTTCTATATTCTTTTTATTTCCTTTTATTTCATATGCTAGTGTATCATTCATGTCCTTTCTTCCTCTATTGAGTTATTATAATTATTACTATTGCTTTTAAAGTCTATCCTGTAGATTATAGCCTACCATGTTTATATAATAAGGTAACGAATGTCAGTCTTATCACTTTCTAGATCATTCAGGGATCTTTGAACACATTAGTTTCAGTGACTCTCTTTACTTTCATGCTGCTGTTTTTGCCTAAGTTGCTTCTAATCTACAACAGTCACTTACTGTCCTTTTCATGATACTGAGCTTTGTAAGAAACTACAGCAGTTTTCTTACAGCGTGGCTCACCTATTTCATTTGTGTGTCTCCTCTTTGCTTCATCTTCTAATCAACCTCATCTTCTCTCACCTTCTAGAAGCTAGCAAGGAGATTCAGCTAAAGTAGATTGAGGGTAAACATATTTCGTGACAATATTTTATAGTTAGGGCTTTGAATTTTATATTTCGTTAAATGGGATATGAACACTTGAGCCTCATAATATTCTTGTGTGGAATAAATGAGATAGTATACATACAGTACCTAATATGCCACCCGACACCTAACAGATAAAGTTTCCCATATCAGTACTAGTGTCATTGGGGCTAATTTTTTTTGTGTGCAGCTCTCCTATGCATTTTAGGATATTTAGACATATCTCCAGCTTCTACTCATTAGGTGTCATCCCCCACTTACGAAAATCAAACATGTCTCTACACACTGCCAAGCATCACCTATAGAGGAAGCAAAATTCATCTTAGTTCAGAACCTATGATGTGGAGCAAAAACTCAAGTAGTATTTTAAATATTCCCTAAGCACTTACTATCAGTAAATCCCTAAGCTTTGTTCGAGGATTTGACACTAAGAGCTACATGTACATGATTCCAGACCTTCACATAGTCCTGATTCTGAGTAGAGACAATCTGGAAAATAGGGAATTAACATACAGCATTGTAAGTTTCATGATAGGAATAATGATGTATACATATGAGTGGAAGGTGCTGCAGTGTGGTAATTCTTTGAGTGTGTCCTGCAAATGTTCTTGTGTTGAAAGTCTAGTTCTTCATGTGGCATCTTATAGAGGTGGAACCTAGTGGCAGGTGATTGGGTCATGGGTATCACCCTCAAAGAGGACAGAAGGTGGCCTGCGAGGGAGGTAGCCCTCCCCACTCTCTGACTTCCTGTCTCCCCAAGTGATCTCCCCCCTCACATGTGCCTCCACCTAATGGTATGTGCTGTGATGTCACGTATCCAAGGGAGCTGCCACCAAAGTCGGAACTGATGATGATGCTGTCTAGTCCTAGGCTGCCAACTTCCAGAGTGTGAAATAAATAAGCCTCTTTTCTTCATAAAGCACCCAGCCTCAGATATTTTCTATAGCAAAAACAAAACAAAACAAAAACACAAAGCCTGCATCTTAATTCTTGGTCTGGAACATGTGTCCTTTCACAGGAATAAGAAATTGTGAACAAGAACACATAGGATAGACTTTTTGCTCTTCTTTCCCAATAAGCCTCAAGAGAACAAACCAATAATCAACATTCAAAATATAAATAAATTTTCCATAAATGAATCATCAAAATTTACATACATTGGAGGCTGCATTCGGGGATATGATGAATAAGACAGTCTACCATCAGATGCAGAAACACAGATAAGGCGAAGCAGGAGTAAGAGCTAGTGATGGCATGATCTGCCACGTGTTTCTTCAGTTCTCCACATCAAGTATATTTTCTCATTTTGTGTCACTCAGTTTGACTGAGGACAGATTGGATAACAGAAACCAGACTAATGCCAGTCAGCATTCGTAACACCCCTCATGCACACACATCTCTTCTTGCTAACACCAAGAGGCCTTGCCTTCGTCCAGGTGTGTAGACGAGGCCAGCAGCCCACCACTCTGATCTTCCTCCTCATCAACGACTTACTCAGCTTCTTGCAATAGAAGTCATAGCCTGGCCAACCAGGCCCTAAGCCAGTTTTCTGTACTTGCTGGGCACAGGGCTGCACTCCCTGTCCCAGTCTCTCTCACAGTGTACTCTAGCCACACAACTATGAAAGAGCGGAAGCACCAGGTACTTCCTCCAGGTCTAAGCCATGGAAATTTCCTCTGGGCAACCCTTCATGCCATTTTCCCACCCACTGGCTTGGCAACAGACAAAGGCTCATACAGAGGATGCCAAGATTTAAAGATGGTAAAGTCAAGGAATAAAAGCAAAATGCATGCCTGACTCTCCAATTGGAGGAGAGAGGCCTTGTGAGTGTCACTCATATTGGGTTTTATATGAAAAAGAACTAACCCTCTATTGTGTTAAGTCACTAAGATTTGAGGGCTTATCTAGAATAGCAGCTAGCATTACCCACCTAATATACCACAGCAGAGAAATAGCCAGGTTTATTCTGCAGTTGTAATCCCTTCAGCTCCCCAGACATGCATGGTATTTCAGCCTTGTTCACCAGGCTTCTTGCCAGAATAATTCACTGATACTCCCTGGGGTGAAATGGGTATGTGAGAGGTTATTTGCAAGGCCACTGCTAAAGATCATACTTCATCTAATGCCTGCAACACAGGAATACAAAACGACATGGGCTTTGATGTCAGGCAGATGTGGCTTTGCCTCTTGCTCGCCATGCTTGACAATTCTTTGGCTTGATACTGCTGGGTCTTTGTTTCTCCATCTATAAAAGCAGGATAATAACAGCTCTGAGGAATTTTGTGGAACTAAATGCGATGGTAGCACAGCTCCTGCGGTCCAAAGGACTCAGCTAACTCCTTCCCAACAACCACAAACTCAATGAGTTAGGAATTTATTTACTCTTATAATCAGAAGACTACGTAAGGAAGCACCTTTTCGCAAAGGACTGTGTGTTTATTTTTTCATATAAATGTTAATTATTTCATACAGGAGAACCAAGTTCAACAAATACTTCTGCTTTCTTTGACTTCAGATAGAAGAACTCAAGTTTGGCAAAATGTAAAGATCAAAGTATAAACAAAGGTAACATGCATTAGTTTTATAATTTTTCCCCTCATGAGAAATAAATGTCACCGTTTCATACCAATAACAGTAGAACATATGCTGGGATTTGATCCGGAAGGAGAACAATAAAAGAGACCATCTACACATCAGGAAGGAGGAAAACATCCTATTAGGTGACAGTGATGTTCACGAGATGAGGACCATCCCCACTCCTGAGAGGCCTCAGATGGAATTACTTCATGGGAAAAAAGTAGCACGTTATTAAGCTAATAAGCTGCTGGCTGGCATGCACTTCACCCACACTATCTCTGTACATGAGATTTGGCACCAAGACAGGTGACCAGAGAAGAATTCTTCTAGGCAAGCTAGTGGAACTGTGGGCAACCACGCCCGCCAACTGAGAAGAGGAAGGAGGCAAATGTCAGGGCAACTAGGATGCAGAGGGAAGCTCTCAAGAGAGCCGCCCACCAGCATGACTAAGTGCTCTTGGGGACAGTCCCTGCTCAGAGGGCAGAAAGCAAATATCCAGATGTTAGGAGCTGCCAGATGTGATTAACTGATGGAAAGTGAAGCTGCCCACGTAACCACCTGAGCAGCCCTCCTCAGCAAAGTGACCCTAGCGTTTTCTGCAAAAGCATTCATCGGCAAAATAAACGGAGGCCCCATCCGTCTCCTGTCCCACCTCTTTTGCTTCTGATCTGATGGAGGCAGAACAGTGGCCTATTTTTAAACTCCTGGCGATGTGTTCTCTCCTGGAACCATGTGGGCTACCTCGCAGAGGCTGATGCTCACTCCAAGGAAGAACAGCCCTGCTGAGGGCTCCGCCCACTGGCCCAGCCCTCCTCTCCCAGGAGAGTGCAGCTGAGGAGCCTGGGGAGAACAGACTGGGGAGGAGCGTGCGCTCCTTGCGGAGGAGTAGGGAGTACATGATTCTGGCTTCCATGACAGGGTAAGTGCAGGCTTCCCTCCTCCTAGAAGGGAAGGCTGAGGGCTGCCTGCAAACCAGCCACATGTAGAAAAACCCAGAGCAAACTCAAGCTGGAGAAGAGGAAAGACAAACCCCAGATGCAGACCCCATCATCTTTTTAAGACAAGGCATGCAAGTGCATTTCGGGGTCTCTGGGACATACATTTGGTGGGCTTTAAATGCAACAGCAAACATTTCATTAAACATTAAAAAGTTGTTTTTAACAAGGCCACAAGTCCACTTAACAAAACATATGCCAACAGACAAAACGCTCTATTTAAGACAGGGGTTGTACTTCACTTACAATCGCTCCAGCTGCTTTAGATCCTGGAAGGCGCCTCTCTCAATGATGCTGACCTGGTTGTCTTCCAGATGCCTAGAACCAAAGAGGCAGCAAATGTCAAGGACAAGCTTGCCGAGGAATTCTCATCTGATGCCCTGGCCATGCAGCTGTTAGCCCCCTGTGACACCCTCTGTGCCCCTCCAACTGGAAGCAGTGTGGCAGGACAAGAAAACTCAAATCCCAGCTTGGTGTCACGGTAACCAGAGTGTCACCGCCTGCACACGTCTACCTGACAGATTGGTTTGCATGCCTCTATTTTAAGAATGTTCTCAGCAAATGCCCCCCAAGCACTGCAGGATGTTGCACAGAAAAGGAAAAGGTAAAAACTGCTTCTTAGAAAAACCACACATATATTCATCATCTCTCCCCTTGGAACTCCCTCCACGGATTCAAAAATACTTCATTGAAAAGGGCCTTCCCTGTTCACCCTAGTAGAAAGGGTGAAGCTACTGTACTGTGAGACAGCTGGTTGCAGCTAAGCAAATCAGCCTGTGCCCAGGAACTGCCCTTACCCTGGGCCTGGGCAATCTCAACCGCAAATGCTTGAGGTTCCCTGGTGGGCACGAACGGTTGGTGCTGGTCACAAAGGCTCGCTCCCCCTATCCCCAGGCACAGGCCTTGCTCCTCCCTTAAGCCCTCCACAGCAGTTATTAAAATACCCTAAACACTCTGCCCAAGAGAGTTTGATTCATGTATATGGCTTACCCTTAATACTTGAATGCACAATGAAACATTTGTTGTCCCTACTTTAAAAAAAAAAAAAAATGGATTAGCTGAGCAGTAAAGAAGAGGAAGAATGAGGCAGCATGACTTCCGTGTGGGTGGGGCTGACCCTGGGCCAGGGAGTGAATCAAATCATATTTGGTGACTGAATGGATTGGGGAGATATAGGATTGTGGCCAGAGGATGCTTCTGTGGAAGGGAGAGTCAAAGAAGGACCAGGGCTTCCGCCGGACGAGGCAGAAACACAGGAAGGGCTCATCTTCCCTTTGAAATGGACCTTCTACGATGGCTACCTGCAGACACATCATTCCCTCCTGCACTCTTACCCATCGGGCCTGTGTGTCTAATTTTCAGTCTACTTCCCAACTACGCCTAAGGAACAGGAAGGTGGCACTTCCTGTAATCATACCCTCATAACTCTGGGCCACTATACATATTGATTGTGTATCAGAATCTCGAATTTCTGACTATCCAAGTAGGTGAGGGCATTTTATTAGGTTCTATGACATCTCACCTTTGTGCTTCCAAATATCAAATGGTCAGAACCAATGAGCAGTCGGGGGGTCAGCCGGCTTGAGGCAGGCTTCATCCACGCTGCAGCTGTGTCATTTGCAGCCTTCCTATCTGAGGCCACTCACAGGCTCCTCACTTAGTAGACATGGAAGTGACTGAACAGAGATATCCAGAGACTCTCCAAAGAGATGTGACACACGTGCAGTCACACAGCTAGCTAGGGCATGCACATCCTCGGGGCCCAGACTGGTACAGTTTGCAGATGTTGTTTTGAATCCCAGTCCTACTTATCCCAAGCTGACGGTATTACACTGGGATAGGTAGTCTACCTCTTGAGACCCAGTTCCTTCTCTGTAGAGAAAGTAAAACACCACCATATGTTACAAAAATACAAATGGAATTTAAAATTAACCAAGCACATAATCTGAAGTACAATTAGAAGCTTAATAAATGCTCCTTCCCTTCTTCCTCTTCTTTTCCATCCTGCCATATGGCAAGGAGGCCTTGGAAGATGAACGGATTCACACGAGTACATCTTGCCAAACAGCCAGTTCAGTGCTTAGTGACTGGAATTCATTCACTAGGCTTTACAATCCTCTAATCAGTCAATGAATCAAACACAAAGCTGCTGTCATTATTTTCCAACTAGAAAAAGGACTAACTTTAGTGAGACTGAGGGTTACACTGTCTCTGGGGTTCTGAAAAGGCCTGGCTCCCACTTCCTGTGATATGCATCTTCACTCTATGCGCAGTAAACTCACAGGATCAGCATTTCTTACAAGAGGAAGAGGTGGTGAAATATGTGCCTGTGTGATTCTTGCCCATTTTCTACCTTGCTGGGTTTTCACTGGCTTCCAGAGGAAGCGCCTTGACTTCTAGTTTCCTGCTGGAATCAAGGAGTGGGAATCAGGAGCAGGTGGGAAGACCATAGCGGGCTGTGAGAGTAGGAGATTTATTCTTTCCTCTCCTGGCTAAGTCACTTCAATTGACTGTGTCCCTCTACCTAAGGCCATAGGGGCTGTCAGGCAGTCCCTGCTCTGCTGCACATGGTGCTCTGAGAGGCCAGTAGTGGCTCCCTGCTGTCAGGAGCCTCAGGACTCTACCATCTCTTCTTGAATTCTTTCACTCTGCACACACCTTTGTGAATACCTCTTGATTTAGCTCTTCTCATTTACCTTTCACGCCATCACTTGCATCAGAAAGTTATGCAGCCCCCCTAACCCCCCACTCTTCAGATCTACTTCCTAGATCTACCAGAGCCCAGCCTGTCATTTAAAAGCACAATAAATAATCGCCATCTAGTAAAACAAAGATGGACTGAATGGAAGAGCCATCAATCCCCACCCTACTCCAAGGCTGAGAGGCAAGCCAAGAGCAAACATGAAATCCATGGATGCCACCCTCATCTCACTGAGCAGACGCAGGACAGGAGAGCTGAGGCTGAGTTCGCAGAAGAGCTGCCAGTGGCTGGGGTCTGTTCTGAGTTAGAGGGACACATACTGTGTTCATTTTCAGCTCTTCAGCATTGTTTCTTTTTTTTTAGGTTTAGCACTGGATCAGAATCGGAAACGGCCCTCATGTGATGATGGTGGAGGCGGAGTTTAATTCTTTTATTAACCCCATTTGGGATAAAGCTGCTTCCCACATTGTAAACATAGCAGAACCCTTAAATAGATTGCTAAGAAAAGGAATACAATTGATACCACCAGAATAGATCTTTTCCTACTCCCACCCCAGGGGGAAATAACTGTCATGGGCACCTCTTATATCTCCTCCTTGAACACACTTCACTTACAGAAATTGCCCTAGGATGGAGCTGAAGCATACCAATCCATCTCTGTTTCCTCTGCCTTCACCAATTCACCTGCACCCTATTAACAGTTCTCCAGAGAAATGGGTGGCAAGCTCGGGTTATTCACGACTATTGAGTATTATCTGGCGTCATTAAAAACTGTAAATAAGAAGCATATAGAGGAAATGGGCCAAGAAGTGAAGAAAGCTTTTTAAAAAGCCATGTAGATTGCTCAGCTACAAAAGAACAGATTCAGAGAAAATATGGGGAAAATTGGGGATATTTTATTGGTGCTAGAAAGCATTTCAACTATTGTAGCTCACAGGCTCTTTCACAGTAACAAAGGGCCATGTGAATGAGATTGTCTTTGAGTTGATAAGCAATATAATGAAATAGTATATTAACAGAGTCTATAAAGTAGGGGTAAAAGGCTTTCTGGCATTGCTGATCAAAATAAGAAGAATGTACCAATTAACTGAATAGATAAACTATAGTCAAAGGAACGTTATAGATCATCCAGAAGATATTAATCTGATCTTTTGTTATTATTTTAAAGTTCCTGAGGCTGTTCTCTCTCCCTCTCTTGTTGCTTTTGCTACTGAGCCCCATCCCCATGAACTCTTTCCCCTCTGCCATGTTCCACCCTGCCTTGGAACCAGCTGATTATGGACTGAAACAAATTAAACAGGTTTTTTTTGTCCTTTTAAAAAACAATAAATAAAAAAGTAAAGTTTCTATTTGCAGAGAACAGATAAGAAAATTGGAATTTTTATTAGGCTTGCTGATGTAATAGTAAGAAGATCAAAGGGTTATTTTTGACTTGGTTAGAAAATGAGTTATGAGGGGGAATTTGTGACTTATGAAGGGAAATTTCTCACAGACACAGGGGAAGAAATTGAAAAGAATTGAGAGACTCAATAAATTTCTGTTTTTTTAAACTGGGCAAATGAGGGCTGATGAGATAGCTCAGCAGACTAATGCCTGCTTAGGCAAGCACAGGGACCAGAGTTCAATCTTGATCACTAGCACTACATGGCGTGCTAGCCCTGCACCCGGGTGCGCTGAGCTGGCGACCTAGTCCAGGCGTGGGGGTGCAGGCCTCTAATCCCAGCACTGAGGAGGCTGACAGCAGGGGGATCACTATGAGTGTGAGCTGCATAGTGAGACCCTGCACAAAATACATAAATAAAGAAAACCTAAACTGGGCAAATGACCTGGAAGCAGGAGTCTCCTTCTTACATTTCTTCAATAAAGATCATCCTAAACTGAATCACAAAATCATGGAATTTTCCACCCTTATCTCAGTCTGATCCACAACATACACCTTGTCAGGGCTGCCAGTCACCTGACAGGAGTGGAGCTTCTGTGGCAAAAGAACAACTTGCACAGGGATGGATTGTCTCTCTGAGGATGATGACAGAAGCCTGTTCAGGACCAAAGACAGGAAAACACTCAGTGGGAGCGCCTGGCTGTAGCTGGTGGTCCAGCACTCAGACACTCATGGTCCCACACCCTGGTAGGGAAACCCTGAGTACCAGTGGTGCACCTTCTCTTTTCAGTGCTAGGGACTGGACCCAGGGTCTAGCACCTACCAAGAACACATTCCAACACTAAGCACTATTCCTAGCACCAGCTGCGGTTTTCAAATTGGGAACACTTCACTGTCTTGGTTTTCTAAGCTTTCTAGAATGCAAACACACAGCAGTACAACATGCGCATTAGAAGACACATAGTCTGGGTTCCGATTTTAGTTCCTTTGGTCACCTGCAATGGGAAGCTGAAGCTCTCTATCCTATTTGTGCTCTGTGTGCCTCTGCTGCAAAAAGGGGCTCATAATAACAACAACCTCATATGTTACCATTCAGAAATGCTATGCTTGGTCCATGGAAAGTATCCTCCTGCACATGTTGGTTGCCATCATTGTTGTTATTAATAACACTTGTCAAATCAGGAAAACAATGTTAGAAAAGTAATACTTGACAAGTGCTACTGAGAACAAGCATATACTGTTTATGTTAATGTTAAAACCATGAAGCCATCTGTGTGTAACTACATGAGAAGAAAGGACTGTTATGTATCTGTTACCAATACCGATGGCAAGAAAACTGAGGTTCAAAGAGGTATAGAGATTGGCTTGAAGTAGCATGGGGTAGTTAATTCTAAATCAAAGCAGAATCTGGCATGTCCTGGTCTGCATACAAAATTCTATTAGCAAAAGAAAGAGGTGGCCTCTGCTATTAACACTTTAGCTAAATCTAGTAAAGATTTGCCAGCAAAAAGTCCGTGACACAAATAACATCGAGGCAGTGGCCAAATTGCCCAGGTTACACTTCAGGGCACACTTCTGGGTCAGCATCAACTACTGAGAACAGAAGGAATGAGGAATAAGGACTTGGGGAGATGGCTCAGTGGAATAAGCGCTGCCCTGGCAAGCGTGAGGGCCTGAGTTCAATCCCCGGTTCCACCAAAAAAAAAGAAAGAACAAGGAATGAGTTGGTCCTCTCTCAGAGCTCTGAATGTCTTTTCAATGGACAAAGATAAAGGAAGTTTCTTACCACTTACAGACTTAAGGATGGGTAAACGTGTTCAAATTTCAGCAAAAAAAATCAAATATTCTTTGCTTCCCTGTTCCACCAATGCCCATCTAAAATTTTGCTACCTGTCTATACAGCTGTGAATATTGAGCAAGTACTCTGACCCTGTCTGGCCCTTTCTCTCCCTTTTCCCCTCCTCTCCATTAAGCACCAAGATAAATAACATTTGTCCCAATTGCTCTTTTAGTGTACGGGCTGGAGAAGAAATTATAATCTCTGTGGAAGGGAAGCATGGTTAGTCAACCTGACATTGCTGTCATCTTGTAAGCTGGGCATGTTGATTTATTCATTTATAGCCTTCTGTTTTCCCTGTCACTGGAACTGAGCTCCTCCATCGATCTCACCCAGCCAGCGACATCCAGACACAGAAGGTGAAACCTGTGAGCACTTGGGTGCTATAATGAGGGGCTTTCTGCCGCAGAACAGTAGATTCCTGTTGCCAGTGCTTCAGGGTGTGATGTCAGGGTAGTGAGTGGAACATTTTCACGAAGCTGAAGAGCTGAAAATGAGAATTCATTAGAGGGTCATTTGTTACTTACAAGACTCGGAGGTTCTTGAGCCCAGCGAAGTCCATCTTGGTGATCCTGGTGATGTTATTTCTGTCCAGGTCACTGCAATGGAATGATAATTTAGGTCAGATTTTTGTAGGTTACATTTATGGTCTATTCAATCCAGACTGGGTTGGGCTGGAGGGACGCTGCTTGTCAGGGAGAAGGCAATTACAATGATTAATGATATCCCTTTAGCATACCCAACTAGCCTTAAGGATATTGTACGGAATAAGCCACTCATTATATATGTAGCAGAGCTCTGTTATATTTCTCTGCTGTCTGGCTTCTGTAGATCCTTCTACAAGAAACAAACTCTTTTCCGCATGTCTATCTCCCCTAGTTTTCAGATCATGTCATACATGGGGCCTGACCCGTCTTCCCAATGCTAGGATTCCAGGGTATCTGATCCACACCAACCTTATAAGCACCTTCAATCCCTCTTGACCACAGCAACTGTTTCAGGAGTAAGTGGATCACACTTAAATGAACAATGGCTCTGCCTGCTAGGACTGCTAAATTGCTCAGGGTTTCACTAAAAGAGAGGCTGCCACGGACAGACATGTTCCAGGGATTGGGCATGGTGGCAGACACCTGTAGCTTTAGCATCGTGGGAGACTGAAGCAGAAGAGGTACAAGTTTAAGGCCAGCCCAGAAAACTCAGGGACTTAGTGAGACCCTGTTACAAAGAAAAAAAAAAATGACTGGGAATGCTCAGCATTAAGTACTTGGTTTAGTCTTCAGTACCCATCTACCCCACCCCCAAGAAAAGGTTGCTTTTAAGAAGAAGAAAGGCAGGATTCTTCACTCCATCTTATGAACACAGTTACGCCTGAAGCCACGTACCTCTGTATGTTGAAATCGTATGCTAGCTCCTTTGCATTTTGGTTTAAATCAGTTTGAATTGAATTTTCCATCACTTGAAATCAAAATAAATCACTGCTTATTTCAGTATATATGTAGACCCTAATAGGTAAGGCAATATTCTCCAACATAGAAATCAAACTCACCTATCTTCAAACTAGTTTTAAATCTCCCCGAGGGCCAAGATCATGTATCACTGAACCCCATCGCAGAACAGAATAGAGCACATGCCCAGCACATAGCAGAAATAACTGTGCTGCTAATCTCCTACATGAAGAGGGCTGCGTGGATTATTTCTGCTGCACTTGCAAGTTTAGGTGGTTGAAAATGACCCTAAAGAGAAGAATTTGCTGTGGAAAAGCTGAAAGCTTTATGGTGGTAGAGTTGGGGTCGCATGAAGGTGGCACCATGAGGGCAGAAAACCAGCAGAGTGACAGAAAAATTGGACTTAAGAGTGATGCGTGACTGTCTAAATACGTAATGTCCACTAGAATCATCTAAGGCTGGTGATGGCAGGAAAAGAGACCATGAATAATATGTTAAAATTCATAGTATGGTTGTTAAACAATTAGTCACCATATAATTTGCCTCCTTTATGAAAAACTGAATAAGGATCTTAGCCCTTAGAATCCTACAAGGTATCTGTAAATTTTCTTTGCTTTTCTCCAAGACTTAGTGGCAGAACTTAGTGGCAGAACCTGTTCTGGATAAAATGTCATTAAAAAAATATTTTACTATTGCACAAACCTCATAGAGTATATACATCACTAGGAGGTACAAGCTTATGGGATTACAGACATATATGCAACCCATCACTGACCAAAATCTCATCATAGGACACATAATTTGCTAAGAGGCATTCCCAATGATAGGCCCCCAGTCAAATGTTCATGATTTCTTTAGTTGTACTAATCAGAACCTAAAGTTACCACCCTGCAAGTATGCCCTGAAGGACTTGGGAGCCATATATTTGATAAAGGGACATGGGAAACAGTTTTCAGACTCTATCACTTTGTAAAAGGAACAATCTAGCTATATCAAAAATAATACTAAAGTTGCTCAGCATGGTGGTACATGCTTGCAATCCCAGCTACTGGTAGGGCTGCAAAAGGAGAATTGAAAGTTTGAAATCAGCCTGGACAACTTAGCAAGATTCTGTCTCAAAATAAGTAAAATACACTGGGGATATAGCTCAATATTCCCTGGGTAAGATCCCAGTAACAAGAAAGAAATAGGAAGACTACTGAAGTAAAAATCAAGTGAGTCCCCAAGTAACCTCACTGGCTACCATCTCTTTGTCTTATCCAGTTTTCCATGACCGAGAACCACAGCCCCAGTTGGCTCCCTAGAGGTCATGTGGAGTGGTGGAAAAGGGACTGTAAGAAGTCCACTGGGAAGGAAGCGGGTTGGCTGGGGCTAGGGCTAGACACCAGCAGAGAGGCCGGAGTCTGTGGGAGCTCTTAGCCACACTGCACAATGCGCTTACCTCACATAGGAATCAGGCTGATGTCTGGAGAACTTGAAAACTGCAAATATGACAATGCAACTAAGTTTAATTACCAAGATACGGCTTGGTGCTATGGCAGCTTGTGCTGTTGGCTACAGCACCAATATTTTCAGTTAACATTTATTATGGGAAAGAGCACAGAATGTTGTCTAAAATACCATGGACATGGCAGGATGAAGTGTGCTGAAGGTTCCTCAGGTAGAGTTAGTGTGTGAGAGGCAAGCTTCAGAGGCAAGCAGTCCTGAGATTAAACACCCACCCAGACTCCTATGAAATGATGTCGGAGCAGTTCACTTCCTTTCTGAGGCTTGATTTCTCTACTGACAGCAGCAGGACAATAATGCTGACCTCAGCAACCTTTACATGTTAAATGAGATAAATGTATACACGGCACTTAGCCAGCACTCGTCAAAAAATCAAGCAACTGGGATCACTGTAACTAGTGGAAGTGCAAGTATTTCCTCTACCTCCTCTCTGATATTTCTGCTAAGAGAAGTTGACCACCCCAACTTTGTGCCTTTACCCAAGAGATTGCCTGTTGCTATGCTGTCTTTCTATGGGTGAAAAGACAGATTTATTTTGTGGCTGATGCGTAGAATGACAGCACCAAGACTGGCTCCCTCCCACGGCCTCTGCTTCTGATGACCATTTGCACAGTGCCTGCATGGGGGGCGATACAGGGGACCAGAGAGGAGGAAGATGCTCTCCCAGCACACTGAGCTCAGGAGCTCTACACTGGGCCACAGAGAATTCAGGGACACATGGGCTTTGGAGGGAGACAGGTCAGGACCAAATCTCAGTCCCATCCCCGCACACCAGCTATGTATATTTGAGCAACACATTCAACTTCTCTGCGCCTCCATGCTTAGTAGAGAGCCTCTCTCCTATTCATAAGTACTTCTGGCTAAACATAGGGATTCCTTAAATTGAGACTGAGGGAATCAGTCCACGTCAGCCTGGATGAGTTCTGAGACGGTGTGGTTGCAAAGGAGATGAGCCCGGTGGAGAAGCAATGCAGGCATCTGGGCCTTGGGCGGGGAGTGTATTTTAAAAGCATGGCTGTGATTGATTCTCTGACAGTGTGACAGTGGCCATCAAGAGGTGAGCAAGGGTGTCTAAACATTCAGCTTGCCTGAGCCACACCAAACAAAAAGGAACTGCTTTTGGCCATGTATAAAATATATACTACAGTTAATATACATAGGCAACCCAAACATCTGTACAAGTGCTTTATTATAACATTTGGGGTGGGTAGAAGGATTGACCACTGGCTGCAGTTTGCACATGCCCAGTAGCATGACCATTTCCCGTGGACCTGAGCTGGTCCCTGCACCACTGGGCAACAAGAAGTATGGAGAATGATTCTTGGGGCTTTGTGGCTATTTGGCGCTCTGTCACTCTTACAGCACTCACACTGGGTCCTCAAGCAGAAGCAATACGTGCTGCCTTCATGCCTAAGTCATAAAACTTCCCCTCCAGCCTTCTACACTCTTTTCTGTCCCTCATCTTCGGCTTGCATCAGCAGATACAGTGGCAGACTCTCTAGACAGCAAATGGAAAAGGGCTGAGCCTGTGGTTGCTGACATGGAGTGAAGACCTCTCCTCCCAAGCCTCCCGTTGACCCGCATCAGACTCAGACATGCTGCAGTAATAACTCCTGAAGCAGATTTGGGAACTGTTTGCTATAACAGGCGAATCAATCCTTTCATTTTTCTTATCTTTTCAACAGCTCTGACAGGTAGGTATTATTACCTTCCTTCAACAGATAAAAACTCTACAGCTCAGCCTTCTCAGGAGCTGCTATTTGCTGAACCCATACTACACACCAACCACTGTGCTAAGGACTCTGAGTTCATTTTCTCTAATCCAGATAGCAATCGCTTGTGGTCAGGACCGTTCTCTCATTTTTCACACGAGGAGGTTGATGCTTGGTCTCCCCTACCTGGTCCCTCAGAAGATTTGTACCCATAAAGGCATTTGCATGAGGTCACACAGCAGTAAATGGCAAGGCGGGAATTTGAACCTCATCTTTCCAAATGCAGAGGGCACGGTTTCAGCACATCCTGTCTGTCTATCTACCAGTACAGTGTAAGCATATTCCAGTGTGTCATGTTATGGGGGGAGAGAGACAGAGACAGAGACAGAGATAGACAGACAGAGAAAGAGAGAGAGAGAGACAGACAGACAGAGAGACAGAGACACAGAGAAGAGAGAGAGAGAGAGAGAGAGAGAGAGAGAGAGAGAGAGAGAGAGAGAGAATTTCTATCCTTGCGTCTTGGGGGAAGAGAAAGAAAAAAGGCACCTTCTTGATGGTCTTGTTGCCTCAACTCCAGACAAAATGCCGCGTTTCCTCCCCGCCTCCCAGTGAGGCCGGGGTCGGTGAGATGCTGAGCCTCTCCGCAAAGCCTAGGCAGAGGGGCTTTCTCGTGGACGTTGGGTACCTGCTGTGTTGCACATCATCTGCCACATTGCCTCCATAAACAGGCGTCACCATGGTGATCTCCTACATTATTTTCCCCCATGCCCATCAATGAATCATAAGCCAATGCTAAGGCTTGCAGTTCTGTGGTATTTTCATTTCTGTTTGACACCTTGGGTGGAGCAGGAAGGAAGAGGAATTCAGAACAACAGTTGAAAAGAATAAAACACAATACAAAACAAAAATGGGCATGCTATTGTCCCTACCACAGCA